CGGCCGCGCACCAAATCAGTGCGGTCCACGCTGGGTAGGTTCAGAGAGTCACTTTTTCTTCCGTTCCTCGGCGCGGCCGCGGTGCACTTTTGTGCGGTCCGCGCTGAGCCTTCAGTAAAGTATAAAAGGTCGGGATTTTCAGTCATTTCTCACTTTTTCAAAACCCAAAACACAAGAGGCGATTTTCCAAACGATTCTTCTTCTCCAAAACGATTGGTGAGTGATTTCTAACTCATTTTCTTTACTCCTTAACATCTTTAAACATAATTTCAAACTTCAAAACAAAGATTTTAATGGGAAAATTGGGAATTTAGGGTAGAACCTAGGTTTTCTAAAATTGGGGGTTTTGGACCTCAATTCGAGGTCCGATTCCAAAATAACTTACATATTTGAGTTCATGAGGGAATGGGTAATCGGATTTTGGTTCGAACCTCGGGTTTTGACCACGTGGGCCCGGGGGCGTTTTGGGAAATTTTGAGTAAAACTTTGGGAAGTTCACTTTTCATGCATTCAAATTTATTCGATTAGCATTTGTTGATACACTCAAGTAATTTGTGACTAGATTCGAGCGGTTTGGTGGTGAATTCGAAGGGTAAAGCGATACTAGAGGTTTGAGTTGAGTTTGGAGCATTTGAGGTAAGTGTTTGATCTAACTTTGGTTTGAGGGGATAGGATTAGAGTATTATTTGCTAATTGCTAAATGTTGAGTATGGTGTATAGGCATGGTGACGAGTATCTGTACACCGGTGTCTAACATGACCGTGAGTCCTTACTTGTGCTTATTTGGGATTCTGTAGTGACTCTTCCTTGTTTAATTGATGGATTCGATATAATGTGAACAATATGAAGAGAAAATATGATTTGTAAACTCCTTGGAGCGTTGGCTCGAAATATGACACGATTAAGACGTAAGAAATGAACGAAAGAGGAAGAGATGTAATTACTCCCTTGCCGGGACGTGTAAGTTATTGTTGTTGCTCCCTTGCCGGGAATTAACTGTTTATTTGTATTCTCTCTTGCCGGGATGGTTGAATTGATACTTGTTCCCTTGCCGGGAAATCCTTATATATCATGAAATGGGATCGTGTGGCACGCCGGCCACTTATATATTATGAAATGGGATCGTGTGGCACGCCGACCACTTATATTTGCTGAAATGGGACCGTGTGGCACGCCGACCACCTAGTTATACTATGAAATGGGATTGTGTGGCACGCCGACCACTTTTACAGATTATGAGATCTGATGTAGTTTCGTGTTTACTTCTGATAAGTTGTTTTCATCTGTATTTCCCCTAAGCCTGTCCCCTCCCTGCCTTAATTGGTATTTTCTGCTGTTATTTCGTTGTACTTGTATATACATATATATATCTGCACAGGTTGTTTTTGGTAGGTCCTTTCTAGCCTCGTCACTACTTCGCCGGGGTTAGGCCAGGCACTTACCAGCACATGGGGTCGGTTGTGCTGATGCTACACTCTGTGCAATCTTTTTGCACAGATCCAGGAGCAGCTTTTGGGCCTCAACACTAGGATTTGATCGGGAGTTGACTTCAGTCCAGGGACTTTCGAGGTAGCCTAGCTGACGTCCGCAAGCCGGAGTCCCTTCTATGTTATTAGTTTGTTTTCCTTGTACCGAGACAAACATTGATGTACTTCTATTCAGACTTGTCTTTAGCACTCTTTAGTCGTTCGTGAGTTTGTGACACCGGATCCGGGTAGAGTTGTATTTAAACTTCCGCATTTGGTTTTCAGTTATCTATATTTTTAAGACTTCCGCTTTATGTCATTATGTTTGATTTTATGAAATGGTTGGTAATTGTTGCGAAAAGGTAGATTAAATTGGCTTGCCTAGCTCCCATTAGTAGGCGCCATCACGACTCCCGAGGGTGGGAAATCCGGATCGTGACAATATTTGCAAGTAAAACGCCCCGTATCAAGTAAAACGCGCTACCTCGCGCCCCATCCTTTTAAAACACTGATATTTATAAGTACGATCGCTTGGGCAACCAAGAAACAGTTTACATGCCAATATCAAGCACGGAGGCTTCATCGATTTCATAGAAATTGACTGATATTTTTAACAGGACTCTCCCCAGATGCACGTACATCTCAAAGAATTGATGAACAATTATCATATTCGTTCCTTCGAACCCTTCAATCTAGTCGAAGAATCGAGATTTTCACTAATGAACTATTAAAAAAAAAATAGACAACACAAAAAATATCAAGAAGATTCAACAGTGTAATGGTGTCAATTGCTCTCCTTGGACAAGGGTAGGTGTACCGCTTCAATCATACTTTTCATTCATTAAGGCATTTATTTGCAAGACTTAATTAAAGAGTGCATTGGTGAGAAAATTACTGGGAAAGAATATTAAAAAAAAAAATAGTCTATCTTCTGGACAAGAACTTTACTCCACTTAATTAAAGACAAAAATTAGAATAAAAATGAATTAGAAAACAAGTAAGATGCGTTCGCTTGGCCACGTACTGTCATGGGCGGCTTTCCAGCCATGCCCCATGACCCCTTGGGCGCGCCTCGTGGCGTCCTAGCAAACCTCCCAATGCCTAGCGCCACGGACGGCCCCGTGGTCTTGGCCGCGCCAAGTGACAAGCGCGCAGGTGCCTCTGTCGTCCCACCGATATCCCTCGCGAGCGCCAAGTCGCAGGCAGAAGCCAACAGCGCCGCACAGACCGTGATGCCAAAGACACTGCTGCTGACAACGGACCTGCTGCTGCCTTATAGAAAACTAAGTCATTTTCATTGTAAATATAGAGTAGTTTTATTTCATGTACTTCCATTATGTTTCTCTAGCTTAGTCAAGTCTAGTCTTGTAACTTTGGATTATTTTTTTTAAGTACTATTAGGGGGGATCAAGCAATCAAAACTTTCTAGCAAGCAAGCAATTCTCTGTACTGGTGTCTCTCCCCCTCGACACCGCGTTGCTTTTCTGTAATAGCTTTCATTAATGCAATCAAGCTTTCTTTCATTCTGAATTCGCACTTCGGTTCTCTCAATTGCTCTTGACATTGGTTTTCCCGTACGGCACTGACAATCTCGTCTAGCGTACGGAGGGGACCTCAGTTGGCGGACAACAACTGCACTGACATCAGTTGCCTAGCCTTACGTCGCCCTTCCAAGGAATCTCAGGAAGGCGCCGCGTAACAGTTATTCCGCATACTTTTTTTTTTATAACTTTTTTTTCCCTTCTCCTTTAATCCCCTTTGTTGGAGCTATTGCTCCTTTGGTGAATCGAACCCCATAGGTAATGGGTGCTGACCATCGGAGCAACCCTTCTTGTCATTCGGCATACTCCAACATAATTAATAGAAACGAAAGGGGTTATAAGTTTCTTTTCTCTCTTTTTGCTATGTGATTTTTTTTTTTGTGGCTAATTGCTACTCCCATGTTAAATATGATGAGTTACGAATTATTGTTTCCCTTTTTAATAAAGCTCCCCCTATCCTATTATATGTGCTTAACAAAACAAACATCAGCCTAATAACTTACATGCATTTAACAAACAAATGCTTCTTACATTTTATTGCTACTTGTGAGTTGTGACTAGAATATCACAGTAGTGCCTTTCCGTATTGAATGCATTTCTTTTGCTTAAAAGTAACTTTTCG